TCTTTAGTATGGAAAAAAGGTAAAAACTTCATGTTTTGTTCATTTACAGCTACTCTGAGTGACTGAGGCCCAGGAGTAACTACCTTGCCATGTTTTGCCACTCAGTTAAAAAGTTAAATCAATAATAAGTTTGGAAAATTCTACCTCAGTTATACCCGGTGGAGTTTTGAACCATTAATAACATTGGAGGAGAGTTTTAATTAGTTTTGTCTCCATCGTGGACATTCTGGACTTCCAGGTCACGAGGAGGGGGGGAGGGGGACATTTGCACTAGCGATGTTACCAGAACAGATACTTATGATGCCTTCCAGGATCTTTCTATGTCAAAATGATGAAAACAAGACTATCTACCTACTCTATCTAACAAAGAAAACAACATGAAGAAGACGGCAAAGAACATGCACCTGCCAACACAGCCCTGCTCCAACACATCAATAACAAAGGCAGGACTTTCTTACTGATGCTATCATGGTTTTCAGACAAGGGAGGAAATACTTTCAATTCAGTGACACACAAAAAAGACAGCGCCTAAAGAATTTAAGGTGTGTGAATTTAAACTCAAAATCACACAGCATTCAAAACAATATCGTTCTAGGGTTATCCTGAAATATACTTTACCATTTTGTTTGACACAGCTGTGGTGAAATCAGCTTTGCTCAATCAGCTAAGCTAATGTTGTGTTAGCTTAAGCTAGCATAATGTAACTATTATACCTTACAGTAACTCCAGCAGGCTACTCGGCAACCAACGTCACTTATACAAAATATTTTGTGTTTTAACAACAACAACCTGCCATCTCTCTGTTAATGACTTAAAACAAACTTTTGCACGGGATAATCATTTCGTTTTGTTAGCTTTGGTATTTTATTCTTGACCACCAGTTTAGCTCACTGGGTGGAGTAGGTGGCACATATATCGAGGCAGTTTACTGTGCATCTTCCCTCTGATCTTGCTCTCAGTTTTCCTTTCTTCTCCAAGCTAAAAATATATATTAAAAACATTTGCAAAAGAGTTGTAAAGAAATGTATGAGATATAATTTTTTAAAGTTAGCTTGTTTGAACTTGGCTGAGCTCCCCTTCAAGAGGATCTTCTCAGATAAATCTAGACCACCTTCAGAGCTGTGGTTATTTTTAGAAAGCTGTGGTTGTCTCATTATGAGCACTTACTCTGTCCCTGTGATTTCAACAAGCTCCTAAAACATGCGCAGACCTTAGCTCACCACTTACCCTGCTCATCGGATTTACTTCACTGGGACCTTTTCTTCTTTTCTTAAAAAATCAAACTGAAGGATCACAGTTATTTATGCATTATTATTATTACTATTTATCTCCTCATATACAAGGTCTTGAATAATCAGGCCCCATTTTATCTGACTTCACAGCATCATATTTCCCCAATAAAGCATTTTGTTCCCAGACTGTAGGCTTACTTGTGGTTTCAAGGGTTATTAAAAGTAGAATTGGAGGCAAAGCCTTCAGCTTTCAAGCTCCCAGTTTGGATTCAGGAGATAGACACGCTCTCTAATTATAAGATCAGGGTTGAAACTTTCCTTTTTGATAAAGCATATAGTTTGGGTTGGATCAGGTGATCCTGAATTCTCCCTTAGTTATGCTGGAATAGGCGCAGGCTGCTGGGGGCTTCCCATGACGCACTGAGTGTTTCTTCATCACTCAACATCACTCACTGCGACTATATTTAATCATTAGTTAGTAATCTCTGGCTCTCTTCCAGTATGCCTTCTGTCCTTGCATCTGTTGCCAAGTCCTTGCTTATAGGGAGTCATCTGATCGTTGGGGTTCTCTCTGTATTACTGCTGGGTTTTTAACTTACAATATAAATCACTTTGCATCTAATATCACGGCAAAGTCCCAAATCTCTTTCACAGGACAGACCGCGCCAAAGTACAACAGAGATTCAGCACATACTACAAAGGCACAAGTGCTGACACCTGTAACTTATGATCAAACCTCTTATCATCACAACAAAAGGATGCAAGAATGCATGATTGGAATTATTTGCAAAAACAGATTTGCAAAAATGTGTGAAAGAAACAGCATTCAACACATTTGTCAAGCCTTGATTAAATTTATTTGCAAAAAATAAAAGATAGCAAACTGGTTTGTTCAGGTTTATTGGCTAATAATCTCCCTCACATCGGCACAGAAGACACCTGGGGCCAGAGGTATGTGGGCGCAATCCCCAAATAGCGCTCATAGGTGTGTGTACAAACATTGTGCTGTTGTCTAAACACAGGCGCAGTGAGTTTATTTCAATATCAAGTGCAAAAACGTGAAAAAAACATCCTTTATTTGGCATTAAAATTTCCATAAATAACAGTAAATTGTTGCAAACATTAATAAATCATTCTGCTTAAGTTTAAATATCAAATTTAGTATTCAATTTAAAATCACCAACAAAAGTGGGTGAAAGCACGTCATGTACCTTTCTCTCTTTGTATTATTCTTCCTAATTTTCCCCTTTTTAAGTATTGATCCTCTCTCATTCTGTCTGAGCACCACTCCTTTCAATCCTTTTTAGTTATCTCTCATTAAGACCGCACTTTACGTGCCTCTTCTGCACCTGAGACCCAGCGAGACGATACACACAAAGACTCTGCAGCTTTTATGAGTTCATGTCTTATTGCTCTTCACACACACAATCCTGCTGATGTACAGATGCACCAACGTGTAGTCACTCATTCATCAAACCACTGAACCATGGGATGTTTGGTTAGCTCCCTGCCTAACACATTTATCTGGAAGGACTCTGTGGTTATACTGGAGCACTGTTGCCTCCAGCCCGCCCCCTCCCCACCAACACTGCCCTCCGTGGTGCACACTGCCTTCACACAGATGAATAATGCATTTAGCACTGCCTGTAATTGACCTCTCGCATTAGCATAAAGAATTTGTCTGAATGCAGAAAAAGAAGACTTGACACAGTTGTAGAAATAACAAAACTGAGTGTCTGTCAGTGTCAACAAAGAGCAGGAGAAGCCCTCGGCTCTTGAAGCTGCTGCAGCCGCTTATTTCATAACACAGGCGAGGTTACGAAACACTCCAGTCCCAGCTGGATGTACGAAGCTCTCCTCTCCTGTCTGCACTCACATATTTTCATACGTACATATTCTGCATGCTGCACGAATACTAAATGATTCAGATATGTTCAGTGTCTTCAGCTTTTCTCTATTTTTGTCACACAAACATAAACACACAGTAACCATACACACTAGCACAGCCAGGCTGGTATTGGCTGCTGGTAGTCATACACTATGTTGTGACAGCTCTGCAGATTTGTTGACGATACAGTAATTATAATGTTTGATATCAGAAAAACATGATGGGAAGTGTCTACAATTTTAGAACACAATCAGGTAGGAAGATGACTTTATATTTATTTATGCAGTCATAATGTCATCATATACTGCTGGTTTATTCATAATCTTCTTCATTAGGAATACCATCGCTTTATGGGTCACTACAGCAGATCATCCATCTCCACTTCACCGCATCCCTATTCCCTCCTCTGTCACTGCAACCCTCTGCATGTCCTCCTTCGCTACATCTATGAGTCACTTCTCTCACCTGTGCACTTTCATCCTGAAACTCCATCCACACTTTTCTCTTCCTTTATCTTCAGCCAACACTACAACAATTTCCACCTGCACCCTGCTGGCCCCTGATCGATCTAGTTGGGAAATCTCATTCTGGTTGATCCTGACGCAACCCTCCCCATTTGATCCCTGGCTGCCCAAATGCTTCCTTGGGCAAGATACTGAAGCCCAGATTGCTCCTGATGCGTTCATGAGTGTAAATGCATCTGAATGTTACGTAGAAAGCACTTAAACATTAAAAAAGTGCTTGTTTGAATTTGTGTAAACGGCGGAATAAGATACGCCGTCTGAAGCAGCACTCAGATAGAGTAGAAAAGCGCTGCATAAGTAGGTTTATCATTTCCAAATTACATCTTCTCCATCTGCATATTGTTTTTCTTTACATTTCCAAAGCCAGAACCAGATTTTGCCTAACCCGAGTGCTTAAAGTTAGTAAAAACAATCCTGAGGGTGGGCAATTCATTTTCCCAAAGGGGCCATATGAGAAACTGGTACTGTTGTGGAGAGCGTCACCAACAAGTTTATAAAGTGATCAAACTAATATCAAGCAGAACTGAGTTCAGCTTCTTGGTGTGGCCCTCCACAACAGTCCCAGGGCCTCATGTAGACCCCTGGGAAAATCAATTACCCACCCCTGATTTTATTTTTTCACCTCCATACCTGCAACACTGTGTAATAAGACTTTTCTTGCAGGTGTGTAACCCCCTTGCTGGCAAAATGTTTCCACAGACACACACATATACATCTGCTAATGTGCTGAAAACCACCTTAGTGGAGAAACTGCAGTACTGCAGGTTTGTTTCCCGGACCACATTTTCCATGATGCGTCAGACACACACACTAACATGCTAACATAGTGTCATATTTTAATTCTGCCAACTTATTCATCAATAAATAAACTTATTGGGGGGGTGGGATTTAATCTCTAAACAGTTTATTTTGTTGCATACATTTGCCAACTTGTGATACATGAATAATGTTAGATTTATAGTTGTCGTAAAAATGAGCAAATATGAATGACACAAAATAACCAAACATCAAACTTTATACTGTAGCTGCTGGACTAAAACAGAGTCGGTGTATGTGTCGGGGTCATGCGTAGAAGTGTAAACATATATCGCTTAAATGTTTTCCCTTCTTCACGTGATGGACGACGAAAGAAGCCGCCTTGTGCACACTCCCCTTTTAATGTTATAGCGACATCTATTATTCAGCAAGAGCAGGTGGGAGGGGTGGGGTAAGAGGTAGCAGGGGTAGGGCTGTGTGGAGAGTGGGTGTGGTGGCAATCAGGGGAGCGTTGTTTGTGTGTTGTGTGTGTGTTGTTGTGTGTGTGTGTGTGTTGTGTGTTGTGTATGTGTGTGTGTGTGTGTGTGTGTGTGTGTGTGGTGTGTGTTGTGTGTGTGTGTGTTGGAAGATGAGAATGATTGAAAAAAGAGAGACAACCCCCAACCCTTTTCACATTTTCAGCTTACTCTTGTCCTATGAATGGAAAATTGCAGGCAGTTGCTGAGATGCAGGACTGGAGGAAGACAAAGACCGAGAAAGGGTATAAAGACCTCATGACCCAACAACCCCCCTCCTGACTTCCTCTCTATACACTGCCACAGTTCAGATGGGTGGCTCGTGTCAATACGGCATGTCACTGATGAAAGCATCAAAGACTAAAGCACACACAATTATGTATTTAGTTCATGTGAGCACAGAAGAGAGGGGCATTTCTTCTCTAAACAAAATGTCTAGATCCAGGTTCTGTGACACGAAACACATTTTCAAGCCTTTTTGCAGAGTGCACGATGGGATCCTGGTCGTGATTACGAACACGATCAATGCACGTCAGGATAGATCTGAAAACATACCACTCAGCCATAACAACATCGCTCACTTTATATAGTGTTGGTCTCTATCATTAAAAACAAAACAAACAAAAAAATACAGCCCACCAGAGGACGGACACGGGTCTGCTGTAGGGTGTAACACCGGGATGTGGGTTGCGTTTTGGGTCTGGAGGGTTGCCAGGAGGGGTCTCTGTGGATAAGTCTTTGTTTTGGCCAATTCCACAAATGGACATCTCGCCTGGGATGTTGAGAGTTTGAAGCCTGCTCTGCATCTTGCACTCTCAGAGGTGCTGGCTGAGACTGCTACCATCAGTGAGCATCACTGCTATGAGGTGGGGTGAGCACTTGATCATGTTTAGATGGTTGGTGTGACCCAAAAGAACATTGTATTGTAACAAGATGAAGGTTATTGTTGTTGTGGTTGATCAGTGTATACTGTGTGTGTAATAAAACTGAGGTGAAAACATCATCTGGTATTTATCAGTGATGTGATGGATGTAGGCAGAAAGTCAGGGGATCACCAAAAGCAAGGGAGAGGATCACAAATGTCATGAATCTAGAATTTGTCGGGACATTAAACTAAAGATAAAAGCGACACAGTGACCTACAGAGCAACTCATCTCACATGGCATCTCCAATCATGCTTTTTTCCATCTGACATTAAGAGGACTAGACTAAAAAAAATACATATAGTATCCAACATGTGTCTAAAAAGCATAAGGCATATGATTTTATAACAAAACACCCACGCTCCTCTATTATTCACAGTCTATCAGCAAAGCATTAACTCCAGGCACAGAAAGAAAAACGATGATAATAACATGTAATGTAGCACTTGAGACACAGTCGACAGTGAAAACTGGGGGAAAAAAAATCCCACCACTCTTGATTGCTCATGGCAACAGTTAAACACAGAAAAATGCACAGCACTCATTGATCAAACTGAGAGAACGAGGCTTTGTTACAGGGAGCCAAAAACCAGTGTTGGCTCATTCAGCTAAAAAAGCTCCCACTCCTGCACCCACTCACATATCAACTGGGTTTATTCTGTCTGGGATGAAAGCTATCTGTAAACAAAATCAGTGTGGCTGTCATGCAGGGGATCAGTTCACAGAGGAGTGACAGTAGACAGGAGGGAGACGAGAGTTGGAAGAGGAGGTCTCAGGTGAGACGGAGGGAAACTGAAGCTCTTCCTTCATGAATGAAGACAGCTGGCACTGGGACAAAGATGCAAACATGCATAGCAACAACTTATTTCTTGTTCCACCAACAGCTTAAAAACTCAAAGATTCAATTGAAATAAAATTCTTAATCGTCAACAAGAATTAAAAATTTTTACAAATCAATTATCGATTAAGTGTCCTCACTGTTCTTTTTAAAATAACGTTATCATAAAAAATCATCATGAATTAAAAACATTTGCAGCTAAGAGTTTGCAAAAGTTCACCTTCACAAAGCAGGAAATTCAAATAGGAAATGTTAAATGTTTTTATTCCGAACGTGATTAAAGGAATTAACCGATTATCAGTTAATTTATATTTTTAATACATTCTAATATGTTCCCTAAAAAATCATTTCATTTCTGTCGAAGGATAAAAAAAGACAGCGTGATGCTCGATCGTACTGATCTCAGTCTCTTACTATTATTGGGTGTAACAGATCTGGAACAGCTGCACACAGCTGTACGGCTCTCTGTGTGGATCAGCCAGTTATCTCCGTACAGGAAGTCTTGATCTGCTCTCCGAGGTTCAGATTCTAAGGGGCATACCCCAACAGGCAATGCAGAACCTGATTGAAGGTGAGGGTGAGGAGACTCGCCTACCTCTAACTGGCTGCATCCAAATAATTTATCCTGCTAATAATGTGAACTCCCTTCTTCCAATGTTGCTCTCAGCCCTAGAGGCCCTGAACCTTCCTAAACACCCCTCTTTTATATTCATTTATCCATATGCGTACTTTTTTATAGTACTCCATGTTAATCTAATCATAAGAAGGCTGGATGTTGAGTCCTTTAGCGCTAAACCGGAGGATCTGACACCTTTCGTATCTCTCTCCACTCCTGCTGAAATCACTCTTGATGCACATGAGTCCAACTGTGTCATGTTTACTTCCTGTTTGTCACCGTTGTTCCTTCAAACTGCAAACTGCCTGTTCGTGTCATTATTGCGTTTTTCTCTTTTCACTTATTTCGTTACCTTTATAACACTGCCTGTATAGAGAAGGATAGCAGTCTGCATTAAACAGTACAAACATACATGTGTAGATGTATGCATGCACCCATAACAGGCTAACATGTCACTCAGGGAGTTGCAGGCTATCCTCTAAACCTGGGAATTCCTCTGATGTAACATTTTACTCAGCAAGAGAGTGACTTCCGCTGTGATGAGTAGGCAGCTTCACTGTATGCACATGCCAAGTTCACAAGCTTTTGGGATAAATGAGACAAACATGGACTGTAAAAGTGGCAGACTGGAGCCAAAGCAAAACAAGAACAGGGAAAGGTTTAGAGAGGATGACACTAAAATGTGAAAGCTGTGGAAACAGAAGAAGAGCTGAGAGAGAGAGGAGCTTACTTTCCATCAGCACAGCTGTGATCAATATTAGTGTCTGACAGGGCTGTGCTCGAGCCTTTACTGTAAATCACTTCCTATTATGATGGAACCTCTATATCACACACACAACTGACCGGTTCCAAACACGCTAACACACACACACTGTATGCATTTATCCACAGAGCAGCTGCTGTGGTACAGTTATGTGCATTCCCTAAAACAGGTAATAAACAGCACTGCAGCACCACAGTGACCTACTTCAATTTAACACTGAAGTCATCACTAGTTTAATGTGCAACATGCACTCGGGGGGATTCATGCTAAACAAGAACAAGAGGCACTGAGAAACACAAGTTTGACACCTGAAGCAGTTATTTCAACAAGCAAGCTCACACTACAGTCTTTTCCTGGAAAATGAGGCAACCTTTGCTTTCACAAGATGCATCCATGTGTCCAGTTTTGTTTGTTTTTTTGCCTCTCCAACTTAGGGATGTGCTGGAACTGGACCAACAAAGAGAGAACATCCGCACCCAATTAAGAATCGCTAATTAACCTAAACCTGTCTTTGGACTGTGAGCGGAGCGCCCAGTAGAAACCCAGACAGGCACAGTGACATAGAAGCACAGACACACAGACAAACAAAGACAGACAGATTTAATAATGAAATACTCACTGATTCAGTTCCACATCCAAAATGAACTTCCGACCAAAAGCGTCAACTTGAAAGCTCGCTTGGGCCACATGGTTCACCTAAAAAAGACAGAGAAGAGAAGCTGCACGCTGTTTCTAAAGTCCCCGTTATCACATGCATGGTGAAGTTCAGTATCATAGACATGGATAAGTCTCATCTACACTGATGGACGGCTGCATTGTGTGTTTATAGCACCGATTAGCTGCAGGAATGAAATAAGCCAAGTCTGCACACACACATAACCCTAACTGGTCACAGCAAATGCCTGCACCTCCCTGTGCATGGTTCTGCCGGAGGTTTCTTCCTGCTAAAATTGAGTTTTTCCTTCCCTCTGTCACCAAGTGGTTGTTCACTGGGATCAATTGTTTATTTGGGGGGGTTCTATTATTGAAGGGTCTTTACCTTACAATATAAAGCACCTTAAGACAAATGTTGCTGTGATTTCATGCTATATAAATACAGCTGAACAATAAAATTGAATTGAAGTGAATTAAGTTCACCATCAAAAAGAAAAAAAAATCTAACACTACGCCGACTCATTTAATGTTTCTTCACCGATCACTGCTTCATCTCTAAGTGCATGAACTCTGTTTGATTGATGTGGCTGGAGGAGGGTCTGATTCATTCCAAGTCTTGGACACATATTGTATGGGGTGTGCCCCCTGGGTCAATAATAACTCCCCACAGTAATTCCTTTAGGTCCAGTAAAGCCCCAGTGGAGACCTTAAGCATGGCTTACCGTCTCCCTGAGGCTTGGGCTACCTGCTTTACAGACTGGACACTACATGACAACAAAGGAGAAAGTGTGTGTGTGTGTGTGTGGTGTCGTGTGTGTGTGTGTGTGTGTGTGCTGTGTGTCTTTGTGTGTGTGTGTGTGTGTGTGTGTGTGTGTGTAGGCTGTCATTTCAGGAAGTGCCCCTGTGCTCACCCAAGGATAGCCTAATGTCCCCAGTGATCACAGACTCTATTGTCTGCAGGAGCGTGCCTGTGCCGGTCAATGCATATATGAGCAGTTAAGAGGTTGTGTGGGTGTGTGCAAGAGCATGTGCAAATGGCAATTCCACACTTTGATGAAATCTAATCTGGCAGATTGTATCCACGAGGGTAGGAGGTACCAGTAATTGTGGTTAATGAAAGCACATCCCATCCTGACTTAGCAGGACCAATATGAGGAGACCACTGGTGACTCCTCTCGCATTGATTTCTGAGTCATGGCGAGCCTGATTTTCCACTCGTGATTGTTCAAGAATGACTGTAAGCCTATCATTGCTCTGCAGAGAGGCAGGCAGGAAATGCAAACCGACACAGTTAGACTGATTTCACTGGAAGTGTTTGTTTTTTCACCAAAACAACAAGAGCACCTTGCTGAACTCCCCACAGCTCATTCAGTGCTGTTTGTGTCTGCGACTTAAAAATAGGTGATGCGAGAGAAGCCTATAAATAACTCCATGTGTGTCGCACATTTTCAGAACTATCTGACAGATTTGTTTTTAGGCTGTTGATCTAAAAACAGCCAATAACTGATCAAACATTTCGCAAGTGACATCACGAGCATCAGCTCTCTGGAGATTAAAAGACTCGGAGCACAAATCAAATCTCCTCACCCTCCCATCCTCGATCATCTGCATTTGCAATGTACATTTTATGACTTTGATGTTTTAACTTGCTGCCTGTACGCAAGCTCTTTTATGACTATGAGTTGGCACAATATGATATCAGAGTAAAATAAACGCATCTCCTGGGCTGTAAACTCCAGAGAATGAGAGTGACTCAGGAAATAATGAGGGTTTAGATCAAAATATGACATATTTTGAGCAAAATCTCTCGTAGAAAACTGTTGTGCTGCTCTGCAGAAACGCTACCTCTGAAATTCAGTTCACAGCAAGCCTGTGCCACAAACCTGCCGTGAGACTAGAATGAGCTTCAAAAGGAAAACATTAAAATGATATCTGATGGCAGATGGTTCAACTTAGCTTGTTTACCCAATGGGCTGCAGCTCAGGCTGAGGTGTGAGAGAGACAAAGGGTTAACACCTCCCTGCCTGATGCCATCTGTAGCCCTCTCCGCTCGCTGAGCCCTGAGTAGGCTAGCCTTACTCAAGCCTAAGCCATACAAATTAAAAACACTTAACATGTTTGTACAATGCTAACTGACTCATTCCTTGAAAGGAACCCAGCAGACTGAAGTGACTCAGTGAACACAGCTACACTATTACCACACTGTACTAGTCATGGTAGGCAGGCAAAGCCAAATGCCTCCAGGCTTTTCCGCAGCTGGTAGTTTTCAATAACAGCTCTCTGAATAATTTTCAAACATTAATAATTTTGTGGGTGATCATGTCCGAAGTGTAATCCAACCATACTCTTTATTACCTGTAAGTCTACAGTGTATTTCTTGGTTCTTGGTGCTAACATCCAAAAACAGGGGCTGCTGCAGGCAATCATATTACATATTACATAGTATATGCAATCATATACATATCTGCAGAGGCATTTAAATATTTATGTCTTTATTTAAGTAATTTGCCATTTTAGAGACCAGTCCTTTTTCAGAACTGTAGAGTAAATATTAAAATATTCACCTAGCCATACCCAAAAGATCAGCTAACATCAGCAACATATATCAATTTTTCATAACTATGAATAAACAACAGCTCCATTTAAAAAAAATAATGAGTCCTTAAAGTAGTTATTATCACAGTATTATTATACAAAATACTGAACCGCCCGTTTTATTTGCTGACAATAGAGTTTAATGCCCTCTAGTGGACAAAAGAAACAACCCAACCCTATTTCTAAATGACCCAAAAGACAGGCCAGAGCGCTTCTAAGACTAAGTCAACAGTGATCGCCCAGCTCGCAGTACATGCTGACGCTGGTATACATGTGACAAGCCAAAGTTTGCTGATCATAGGCTCAATAAGAAAGCTTCTGGTCATTCGTTTTCATGTGTAAGGTGAAAAATGCTGCCTAGTGGGACATTAGGCAGCGTTTTTGAGGTGGTGAGACAGCTGCTGAGACAACAACCCAGCTGGACGGACGAGATGCAAGCTAAAATATTAATTATCCGGTTTGACCAGGTGACATATAGTCGATCATTTTGAGTGGGGATAAATGAACTCAGAGGTCCTATCACTAATCTTAGTATTTTAAAGCATTTTATGGGTGTAGGTTGCGGTGGGATTTTTTCTTCTTTTGCTTATGACCCATATAGCACCTCCAGGCTGTGTAATTAGTGTGACCTGCTCGTGTCAAAATGTTGTCAGCGTCCTTTTTTTGTATCCCTGCTTGCTAAATAATGACCCCCCCACCCCCATCCCCCCAACCGTGAGGACACGTAGGGAGGGGTTGAATGGATAAAATAGACAACTGTAAACACAGAGGCATCTTTCCACAATCGCACACTCCACCCTCACAACACGAAAGCACCTTGTGTACCTGCGTGGAGTCGGAGCTGGCGCTGGCTTTAATCCTGGTGCTGAGCTCGTCCTGTGTGATCTGGCTGTGGTTGTGCCTGCTGTAGAGCAGGCGGAGAGGCACCGTGTCCTCCTTCCCGACAAACCTACCCGCATCGCGAAGAGCCTTCAAGCTCGACAAGGCGTCTCCTGCACAGAGAGAGAGATAGAGAGAAAGGGGACAACACCGACTTCATTACGCGCCCCGTTCCTCCGCGCGGAGATCAGCAGTGATAGAAACGCGCGGATCACAAACAATTATGATTAAAATGTCGATGGTTTTCATTTCCTTTTCACACAGTGGAACAGCTGTGGGTTACGTGCATGTTTTTAAATGCAGGAAGCATGAAGCAGACGAGGCGTTGATTAACAAATAAACACAGGCCTTTTGATAGTGATTTAACGCTTTGGCTGCGCAATAACAATTCATGCATCATCCAAAATAGCATCAGTTACCATCTCCGGCGTTAGGGCTGCTCTGGTGACCGACGTGCATCAATTCACAGACGCACAAAAGGGAAATCCACCATCGCGGGCGCATCATCAGCACCATCTCCTCCGTCTCTCTCTCTTTCTGTGTGGCTGGAAATTATAAACAATGCGGTATTCCAGGAGAGGACTCTCGGGGTCCTGCCTTCGCTAAGGGAGCTTCAAGCCGGGGCTGGTCGTCTGGTTAGTGCAGTGTCGCTGATGGGGGGCCATCGGGGGTGCTTAGGAGTCTGAACGCCGAGCGCGTTTGAGCGCACCGAAACCCCGCGGATCAGCAGCGCGGAGAATGCTGGAGGCGAGAGAGAGAGAGAAACAGAGAGGGCGGGAGGATGGGAGGGAGATCTAGGGACACCTCCTTAAAACACATCAGTGTTCGGTGGCTCACTGCAGAGACGCCTAATGCATAAATATGAGCGGAGGTTGGATGAGGAGAAAATGTGGGCTCGGCCTTCCGCCGACTGGACCTATCTGGGACGACATAAAAGCTCCTCCATGTTAAATCGCTGCAGAAGCGCCATTCCTGCCCAGTCTTGCCTGTTGTTATCATAATGACTCACTCCATCATCTGCCAGGCCTCCAAAAAAGGCATCCTCCACCCCTACCCAGGAAAAAAAAACAAGACAATTAGATAAAATTGTGCAATTTAGAGTATATGACCATTTTGTCTCTCTAGTCAAATGATATTTTCTTATTTGTTGATGTTGCTTCTTCATCTTCCTTCAGAGATGAGTTGATCGGGTAAATTTGGAGATCCCAAAGTCGGTTAATGTACAGTGGGCATAGGAACACACTCGCTTCCACATTTATTTGTGCTCATTCAAAACAACCTATAAATATTTACCTACACTTGATAACTCCACATTCAAAAACTGAAGTTACTGCATGAGCCAGGATCAGTGACAAACTGATCCTCTCAGTTATCCTCTCACTTACATACCTGTAGACTACTGCCAAAGATACACTTGTTTCCATTTGCTTAGTCGAATCTATGAAAAATATCAAAGGTAATAGTTTGACAGGAATAAAATTATATTTTTGCACCAACAACATGACTGCCAAAAGGCTATTGGTTGTCTTGGTAATATAGTAACAAGTAGATATAAAAGTACCAGGCCTAAAAAATAAAAACCCAGAAAGCTAAATCTACAACAAGTGAACAGTATCTGAAACCCATGTTCTTAAGAAATAGAAAGAAATAATTCAAAGACCTGACAGATGGATCTGTACCTATAGTTGATCTGCTGTTATCTGAAGCCTCATTAGAAATGGCCTCAGTGGAAGGGTGGCTGTCAGTCAAGAAGCCATTCTCAAGGAAGGAAAACAGGTGAAAAAGGCTGAGGCATGACAAATTACACAAGACCTGGACTGAAAATCAGTGGTAACAGATGTTGTGTAGTCATGAATTCAAAGTCAAAATTTCTGGCTGTTCAGAAGAGGTCAGGAGAAAAGTACGACAGTGAGTGCCTACAGCCATCTGTGAAACATGGTGGAGGCTCAGTCATGGTGTGGGGCCGAATTTCAGAGTGTGGTTTGGGGGATTTTATCATATTTGATGAATCTTTGAAAACAGAAAAGTACCATCACATTTTGATCCACCATGCAGTACCATCTGGAAAGCATCTGATTGACAACAGCTTATTTTTTAGCATGACAATTATCCCAAACATGGCACCAGTCCAGTAAAAGCAGAAAAAGTCCTAATTTTTAAATTTAGTAAACAGCAGCAAGAAATATTCAATATGTGCTCAGTAGGGCCTTACACACTTGAAAAATCAAATTTTTACTGCCCTCTAATGGACAAACTATACATTTGTGAAACTCTTTAAATTTCCTTATGTATAATATATGCTGTATTCCATTATTAGCCAATATTTATACAGGTATGCATGTAAGCCATATTAGTCAGAAATGATGGTTTGTTAAGTATGATGATAAAACACAGTGCTAACAGGATGCAACCAGCATGAAAGATGGCCATGTCAGGATTCAGCAGTCGCCAGTATCACTGTGCTTGTACCTCAGAACACATCGATGCTCATTTTCTTAATGCCAGTGGCGCAGACTCCCATTTGACCCAGCACATCCATTTGAGAGTGGTGAGGGAGAACAAGGGCACTATGCTAATGCACTAAATGCAGGGAAAAGGAAGACACTGAGCTAATGCATCAGGAGGAGAGGGAGGAAGAAAGAAAAAAAGAAAAGAAAAAAAAAGCATGGCGGGGTCATAAAAAGTGCACTTAGGAAGAATTTTTAAAATGTCACACATAACGCCAAATACCATGCAGACAACCTGCAGGTCATTCACATTACAACACACAGAAAGAGACGCTCACAGTACAACAGGCATTTATTTGAATTACACATCCACATCCTTGTGTCTGAAAGGATTAAAGATAATTGTCATGACTGAAGCTGCCTTTTATCCATAAGATGCTCTTTAAATTCTACAGTCAGCATTCATGGAAAGAAAATCATTTAAAATAAAAATTCTTGCACCAATTTTTCATAGGTTTTTTTTTTTCCAAAATGGCAATAAAACAAAACATAGCTGCTCTGACATTACCGTACCCCATCAGTGTCAAAATACTGAAATGTATTCACAATATTCTTTCACAGAAGACGACCATTTCAAGAGAGTTGCTCACTTCCTTTATTAAACACATGCCCATTAATAGGAGAAGCAGGAGAGCCACACAACCACACACTGTCTTCAAGTCAAGTTAGATGTAGACTGAGCAAAAGGGACTTGGAGCTAACGTTAAGCTGGCACTACATTTCATGTACTCAGCAGATTACTCTGGTCAAAGAAATGTTTTGACTGATTTCATGTACTTTTTACAGGTTCAAGTATGTAAAATACTGACTTGCAGTTGCTGTCCCTTTTAAAAAAAGGGACTCTTTTGTGTTTTCCCTTATTTAGTTTGTTTTAGGACAGCCAAAGCTTCATATAAAGATGTCACTGTATATGAACATAATGTCAATGAGCAAAAAGTTTAGGCTTCAGACTGTTTTTCCCATTCTTAGCTCCATATGATTTCATAGAGAGAGGTTCTATGGGGGAGGGGGGGATTAGGGCTATATGGTTAGAAATAACAATAACAATATTACTAGGGCCACTCTAAGTTGTACAATATATACTACTCTGTAAACAAAATGTTAAAAATCACCATCTGATTGAAGGAGGAGAGCTGATGCATTTCTTATCAAACACAAAAGCCAGGACCTTCTATTAACATCTTAAATCTAACAGCTTGTGTAGTCCAGGACACAGGAATTCAAGCTAATCCCTTTAGCTTGTCTATTTGTAGTCCTCAAAGCCGTGAAACTCCACATCCATGTCATCACTGGACTGGAAAAGCTTCCAGAGCTTCAATAAAGAGTTATCAGAAACATCGCCAGGCTCTACATGTTCGACGTTTGTGTCCAATTTTCGTCTTTTGTGGTTGTAAACTTTTATCCTCCTCTGAATTTTCTGGACTGGAGAGCAGCTTTCTGTAGAAAGGCATCCTTCTTTCTTTCCAGAGTCATTTTTTCCAGTCACTTTCTTATCAGACTCTTGTTCATTTTCAAAAAAACTGAGGCTTTTTGAGGCCAAATTATTCTGTATGTTCATATTATCAACGCGCAAAGTTGAGCTGTTTATGTCCTCATGAGGCATCTGGTCCAGCAGGTCATGCTGGCAATCTCTGGTGGGCAAAGAGGGAAGAAATTCACCTCTTGATGGGGCTTCTTCTGACTCAAACTGAGGACTTTGAGGCTGATTAGATTTTTGGGTGCGGGCAGTGTGTGAATTCTGTCTGCACACCCGTTTACGTTCAAGCAACTTGTGCCTGGATCTGTCTGAGTAAGTGTAGCAGTTCTTCTGGTCGCCCTCTCTGTCAATCAATTCAGCAGAGGCAGGCACGGACACAATTTTTATATCCTGTCTGGAATTTAATTCTTCGTTCACATCAACTGTCCATGGCTCCTCTTCTTGAACAGTCTCTGAAGGATCTCCCTTGTACCTTAGTTCAGGTTTTCTACATGGTCCAGGAGCAACCAGAACACAGGAAACACTGCACTTTGGTCTAATGGGAATCAAAGAAAAAACAAAACAAACCCTTTAATTAGCTACGTGGAATAAAAATATTAAGGAAAAACAATTTACAAGAGATTTAAATGGGGTTTTGTTTTTTGACAAATTTTGCTAAACCCCCCCCCCAAAGAAAATTACCTTTTGAGTTTAGCTCCTTTAACGTGCATGAAGTTGTGGTTCAAGGTTGAAATCAATCTGTCCACCAGCAAGTACTCATCACTCTTAGAGAAAGCCCTGTGACTCTCACTCTGCAGATGCTGAACAAAAAAGACACAGTTAAATAATGGAGAATTACCGCAGTCCATCCAAGGCCAGTGAGCCTCTACGGCACAAACACCTACATACAAAAAGAGGCATTTGAAGCTCCTCCCACATAACTGTTCACAGTGAATAAAAGCAATTTACTGAGCAGCCCATTAGAGCAAAGCAGCCAAAAAGCAGTTTTTCCATGATTGTGTTAAACACCAGAGAACACTGATGAGGGACTTGAAACAGATATACGAACATACAGGTTTGGTTAGTTTCCTTCTCAGTTAAATACTTTATTTGACACAATTTATCATTAATACATTTCTATCAATGTCTGCAAGCAATACTGTGCTTAACTGGAGTGAAAGTGGTTCATTCTGGACCAGATAATCTGTATTAATGTAATCAAAGTAACAGATCTAAAGTTGTAAATCTGCTTTTTTCCATATACACTACATCTATCACCCAAAACAAAAACTTAATAATGTTTTCAAGTTTATCAGTTAGTTTCATATTGTGTTACATGATGTTAGGAAATGCCAACAAAGAAATGTACCACACATCTGCTAGCTAAGCAAATAAAGAGCCTTCTATCAGATAATTACTGCAGCAATTAAAACATTTAACCTTAACTAATGTTCTGGTAACCTCTTAAAACAGCTAAAGTCAGAAGACACAGCCCATCAAAGTGGAGAAGATATTACTCCGTTTCAGAAGGTCAAATTATTCAAGAAGCTTATTGTCATGTACACTGCAAAACACAAATGGTTACACAGAAAAATGAAATTCTTACTTTGCAGTTCTCACAATAAGTAAAACAGTGCTTTGTAGCACTTGTAGCTAATGTGTGGGTGTAATCAGAATTACACCCACACATTAGTCTGCATGAAGCTAAGCAAACAACTAAGGAGGATGCTGAAACTACTGAAACTGGGTGAATAACTGTCTGACAAAGTGGTCACCAAAAAAATAAATAAACCTTGAATAATCCTGAGATCA